CTTCTGTTAAAACAATTACAAATTTAAAACCTCTTAATTCTTACATTGTAAGCTGTTCTGAAATATTACATGGTTACAATACCGGCAGTAACAGAATAAATGATTAACAAATTATTCAAAGATGAAGGCTGCAATATTGTTCTCTGCATGGAATGATAATAGTAAAAGTATTAGTCTCCTAGATGTTAATGTTGACTTATCAGTTATAATTTCTATATTACAAATGTGCATAAAAAATGGAGTATAGGAGATCTGTAAAATAATAAAAGAAAGAAAATGAGACAAAACTCAAGCTTCATTTCTATTAACTTCTTAGTAGAATTTCCTATAGAAATGGAACTATTTTACATCTTTATTGAAAGTTTTGTAATAAGGAGAAATAAAAAAAACTAATTACAATCATTAGTAATTGTAGTAATTTTGTATTATTAGGAGTTGTGACCCTGTGGGGGAAACTACATTTTGGCAATATGAATTACTATACATATTAAAACAAAAATCATGACTTGCAGACACACAGATTCAACAAAAGTGTAATAATTTCTACTGCAAGGGCTACTAGCAATCTCTGTTATGAAACTGTATATTACACATTGCCCAGTGGGAGGCAGATAGGCAAAGTCTGTTTACTTATGTATTTGGCATAATTGAAAACCAACAGGTGTTTGTTAGGATATCATTATTCAAGGAGCACCACTGCAAAATAAGATTTTTCAAAGGCATTGACTCATGAGACATAATGGAAACAGTGAAGTATAGAGCTTAGCTAGCTATACAATAACTATCTAGGGATTTAATAATAGTAGAAATACTGTACAATGTAAACAGCAACTCCAGAAATAAATTTCCTAGGATAGAACTCAGTGAGACAATAGGAGCAACAGGGTAAACTTATGAAAGGCTTTATTTACAGTAGTTTCCAGAAGATAAGAAACAAACACTGCCCCCCTCCCCCCCCCAAAAAAAAAAAAGAAGCTCCCTAACAGTGAGATGAATTAAATGTTTGGATAATTTTCCAGGAAAAGCATTTTAGTCAAAGATTGGTATTTCAGTCAAAGAAGAATAGTGCACTAAAAACGTACTATAGGGAACAATGATTTAGACAGGCAGTATTTCATCTCTATGCTACTACAAGGATTAAAAAAAACCCAAAAACACTGCTTGGGAAAGGTGACAGCACAAAATATTCTTGGAGCATCTGGAAGCAAATGCAGATTTAATTGATAATTTCAGTTCCAATTTAAAACACTTCATATATTTTGTTAGTTCACTATGTATTTGTAGACTCCCGATTTGAAAGTAGAGCCCATATTTATACTGTAAAAGCAGCAGCTGTAGGGATGATATTCAAAGTCTTTGACATAAGAGAGTTACATGACTATAGAGATGATCACTATGGAACTCTCTTGTCCTCATTCCTGGTTTTAATTAATAAAAGAAATTAGTTATTTTAGCAGTCTAGATAAGCTTTAAAAGAGCAGAATTGCATTCTGGATTGAATAGAATCTTCATAAAGAGCATATCCGATAACGTTGTTAAATCAGACAACGTAAAATATTTTCTTTACAGAGGACTGCTAAGAACACATAGCAAATGCTGCTGTTCACCCTAATTCAGCAAGCAGCAATTATTACTATTTCATTCGGCTAGAGGCTTCTTCATCTGACTAGATTTCAGAATGGGCATCAGTGGTACCACCAATATGGTCTAACACACTCTCAGAAGAATTGGTTCCACTTCTGCTGCAGAATTTTACAGGAGACATTGCTATTCCCAAATTTTGTACAGAAAAACAGCTGATGGCAGCATCTATCATTTCAGTTTGTCTTCGCTATTTTTATTAGGGTAGCTTTTTATAATTCAAAATACCCATTTGCACACAGTCTTTTTCCTTTTGTAAAAGAAGACTTCATATCTATTTTCTTCCTGACACAATCAAATGATGGCATGATATGAGACTTTTTGTTTATTAAATCAAAGTTGTGACCAGAAAGGAAAAAGAAACACAACTTCACCTTCTACACAAAATGCAAGAGTGCGCAACAGTACTGGATTCCAAAAAATTTCAGAGGTACTGTAGAACTTTTGACCGTTTCTGTAGAACAGTGCAATATAGGCCATCTTTTTTTTTTTTTTTTTTAATAAAATATACTTTGAGGATGAAGATGCAACTAAAAACACTGAATTATCTGTTGACATTACTTACACACGTTTATAAATACCACATTTACAAGAGCTATTGGGAAAGTTTACAGTTTCAGGGGGCTTAATTCACATTAATGTGCTTTTGTCACAAAACAAAACAAAAAAAGAGCCATAACACTAGCTTACTTGTGGATGTGTATACTAGTGAACTGGGGGCACTGTACACGGGAGATCCCTCCTGGTTTGCCTGGCACAGCAGCACCCTGCCTACAAGAAAGAGAGAGAGAGTGGTATCTGGTTTTGGAACACTCGAACTAAACCTCAATTTTTATCTCAAAACAGAAATAAAGTCATAACCGGAGCAGTGCAGTGAAGCAGGGGCACTTCTTGTCCTTTGACTTCAAAGCAGAAAGAGCCCCAATAAGCATGTACAATTTTACATTTGAAAAAGCAAAACACAGACATCCCCCAAAACACAAAGACCCTTTTTACCACATGGGGAAGCTGGTGCACGCCCTGAGCATGTGCAGCGCACACCAGTCCCTCACCCAGCTGCTCTCTCTCCCTCTCTGCCCTGTCTCTCTGAAACAGAAGCTGCCTAGTTAGCTCTGCTGCTAACGGGAGCGATCAACCCGCCCACACCAACCAGCTACTAACTTCTCGTCTCCCTAACTCTGGCTGATATGAGAGGCTACTCAAGCAAACACAGCAGATAAATCAGACCGCAAAGCTCCCATATACAGACGTTAGGCCAAGCGTGATCTCAGTTATATCACTTAAATTAACACTGGTGCAAGTGACATTGAAATATTACTAATACATGTGAAGATTTCAGTATTTTTTGCTCAAATGAGAAGTACATAAACATAAGCTACTTTCCCGTATATAAGCTGGATTCCGGATTAAGAACAAAACCAAATAAAGGAAACAAAACAATTTAAAAAAAAAAGTAAAAGTAATAAGCAAATCAATTTCAAATAACACTTTTGCAATGCATGTCAAATGAACAAATGACAGAAGTTTAGGCTTATTTCCCAGGGTTTTTTTAGATGAACTTAAATAAAATGCCTTCGCGTTTCAACATCTTTCTTAAAGTTGTGTTTTAGCAGTCTTAGCGGAACACAGATTGAACACTGATTAGAGGTAGAAACAACTATACTTTCACACTAGGAAAAAAAACTTCTGTGCTTCTGGAATACAGTCCACCAGGAAGAGCAGTATGCGACACATCTGTTTTGCAGATATGTGTATATATCTGTATATATACACACACAAAATTATATATGTACACACACTGACATACTTCAAGCTGTCAGGATTTGTGAATCACGCAATTTCAAAAATATTAAATTTACATGAAGATTTGTGAGACTTTAGAAGTTGTGCATTGACTTACAAGCAATGTAACTCAACAGAGTTGAGTCAAATGTTTGGAAGGATAAGTTCAATTACAAACGGTAGGCATGTTTTCCATGTAGTACTACAAGAGCAATTCTCAACTTACACTCAGCTACCAGACCAGAGTTCTTTCAAAAAAATGTTTTAAAAAAATTTCTGTCATTAACCGGTTCTTTGATTATTGCTTGCAGCTGTTAGTTAAAGTAGAAATACAAGAAATACTGAAGGAAAATAATTCTTGTAATTTATGCAGTTTAGCTAAGACTCTGAGCACTGGAAATCTCATGGAATATTATGCTTCTAACCTTCCCAGACAATAGCATGCCCTTAACTAACAAAATTTGGAGATGCTTGCTTTTTTCCAGCCATCCACTACTAATCTGAAAGATAAAACAAACTAAAAATGTTTTTTTTCCTTACTTTAAGACAGCATATAGTTGACTATATCGATATATATCTCTCCCAGCCTTCAAAAAAAATCCACAGCTGGAAGCTGTTAAACGAACATATACCTATTGAGATCCTAATGGCAAGCATAATTTTCAGGCTAGTAGATAAACACAACCTATCAACACACTTGACACTAGGAATGTGTACATTGGAATATGGATGTATTTAACACCATAGATGCTTCAAAAGTCGTGCTACTACAGAAGCCTGAAAGCGAAAGTGAGCTGAAGGCATAGAGGCATTCATCCAGCTGAGTGAAACGCAGAAAGGAAAGGAATTATTAAAATCAGTCATTTTCATTAGGTTTTAAGAATAATGTAACTATAATTACTTGAGGTATATTTAGTAAATCTATAAAGGTTTTTAGAAATTGAAGATTATAGTTTATTTATATTATTCGACATAAATTCTAGATGATGTTTTGCTTGTTCCATGGTCCATAGGTATTTTCCTATTCTTTGCAGCTAACATTCTTACATTTTTTCTGATTTCATCTCATACAAATCTAATTTTCCCTACTCAAGTCTTCTAATTTCTAATGAAAGTACTTCAAAACAGATGCTTTTTTCATCCATGCTACTAGAGTGTATTTAATTTGTTGCATAGAGCTTTCTAATTATATTTTGACAATCTGCCTTTGAATTTGTACATAACATTAATACTAATACCTAAAACACTATTATTAGATTTTGTTAGAAAAATACGGAACTTTTTAATCTACTTTTGTGAGAAAAAATATTTCTGCTGCATCTAATTTTGGTATTAACAATATTTAAATTGTAATTAATACAACTGGGGAAAGATTGAATTATTTACAATAAGATCTTCTGGATAAACTTCAGAACACTGAAACAATCTATAAATTCCCCAATGGAAAAAAAATATTATTTTTCCTCTAGAATACTAAATTCTAGCATGACAGAATAAAGGGTTATTTTTTTTTTTTTTTAAGAAAGAGGATTTTAATATAAAGTTCTTAAATCTCTGTTGAAACTGTAATTTAATAATATCATGGAGCTGATGAACTTCAAAAAATTACAGTCATGCAAGAGTTCATCTTTAATTCTGCAATGCCTTCTGTACCAGCATATGTAAGGCTGGTATTTTCTCATTACGACTAACCTGCATGGTTTTTTGCTTTTCTCTAATATAAGCATCTACTTGTTTGGTCACAGCAGATGTGACCACTGATACAGGATTTTGGAGACCATCAGCAGAAAGCCCCTCCTGACTCACTCCATGAAAAGGATCAGAAAAATATTAGCATATATATCTGAAGACTATATGCACCACAGGCACACAGGAGAGCTTTAGACAGACCAGTGGCAGAAGGGAAACCAAGGCAGCCATGGTGCTAGGTGTAGTCTGGGAGGAGAGTAGTCTGCGGTGGCTGAGCAAGCCCGTGGGTTGTGCTGCACACAACAGGTAGCTGTGTTGTGGCAGGGCATGGTGGTGTCATCTGAGCACTGCTGTAGGATTGCAGAGATCCCCCCAGACTGGTTCACTGCTCCTCCTTGGCGTGCAGGCTAGGAGCACAGACAAAAACATACTTTTCAAGATCAAAAAATATTCCCACTCATACTTCTCTTCCTCCAACATTTTCTTCTACAGTCCACGATTAACCCTGACAGAAGTAAATCTGGCCAGGGACATCAAGGGCAACAAGAAAAGATTCTATAGGTACATTGGGGATACAAGGAAGATGAGGGAAAATGTGGACCCTCTCCAGAATGAAATGGGAGACCTGGTTACCTGGGACACAGAAAAGGCAGAGGTACTCAATGACTTTTTTGCCTCAGTCTTCACTGGCAAGTGCTTGAGCCTCACCACCCAAGCCGCAGAAGGCAAAGG